CACCTGCGTATGTGCGGGAATTGAGTCCCAAGCGACGATAACAACACACGCTAAAAATGCAAAGGTTTATGGGTAGATGCTTGTTTGTAAACAATGACACGCTATGGCCATCTGACACATGCGTAGGTGACGACACCCCCACTTTAAGAACTACGCTAGTATGTTATATGCTAATCAGCTGATGAATATGCAAATAATGATATCAAAACCAGAATAAGTATTTCAGTGGTATTAAATGAGGTAGCAGATAAGTCAGTTAATTAGTACACAAACTACCTAAATGATATGCATGGAACTGTACCAAAATTACGGTTTATCAGGTCTGTGAATTCTTCAAACTCAAAGATACCAATATCATATGGAACCCAAGTAATAACTCATATTTGATATACAGACGGGACATTCTCACACATATCAAGTACAAATTATTGCTGGATTGGGGGAAAAAAACACTAATAAAACAATTAAGTAAATATTCACGAACAAACTGTTGCTTATTCTGTCTTAAACTTTAATGAGATTTTCATTGAAAAAATAAATAAAAGTACATGTTAGCTTTGTAATCACACATTTATGAGTATATAACTCTAATAAAGTGTTTATAATTATATTACATTTAAACACATGATTCAATAAATTTATTTAATTTTCACTGTGGGATACAATACTACATACTAAAAATAACAATTATAAATAAAAAATTTGAATAAGTAAATGTATAATTTGTATAGATTACAATAAGCCATTGTTCTGATTGATAACTTAATTTTTTTGTAGTGCGAGGGTAATCTTAAGTGGATCTGTACTACCATAGTACAATGTAGGCTATTGTAATCAATAGTATTGATTATTTAACAGCTTATTATAAACTAACAAATGGTCACATAAGATAAAGACAAAGATACACAATTTCAAAGAAAAGCTATTGAGTAAGTTGAACACCACTGCTAACATTTTGATAAATATGGAAACAGAATAGTTTTTATTTAATATGACTTAAAATTCACCTTTTCTGTCTCTGGTATTAAAAAACATATTTGTTTGTTTTTTTTGCTCTCAAATTCAATTTTTACCTTCAATTTTGCTTTCCAACTTAGTGAATGCTGACCAGAAACATTTTTTTTTGCCTTACCTCTGAAATGACTTTTTTATCACTACAGTACAAAATATTAAAATATTACTTCAATCATTATAGAAAAAAAAAGATTAACCCATTGAGTGCCAAAGTCATCTTTAGGTACCAACCACTAAATACTGTAGAATACTTTATTTTCGCTTGGAATTAATTTTCGCTATTTTCACTGAAAGGAAAGATTAAATCCAGCGAATATACTTTTTTTCCTATATTTCACATTAAACTCATCAAAAATCAGTACCATACAGAACGCCCAAAAAGCCTTTTCAGCGAAAATTAATTCCAGTGAAAATAAAGTATTCCACAGTAGTTCCATTTATAGTCTGCTCTTTTCCATATGAAATATTGCAAATATTTTTTTATCAAAATCTAGAAACAATAAAACATTGCGTCCGTTTGATTCAAAATTAGATTGAATTTTGCAAAAATTACTCTAGTTTGAGCGGGGAAAAAATTTGTTCCACAAAAGGTTAATTACTCTGAGTTTGAATTGGATTGTACTAATATAAAGCATACTGAATGTAATTTGGAATAAAAAAGGTCAACCTAGTTATGTTGGGTGGAACACCAATAATGTAACAGGATGTGTGTGGTAAGTACGCAAGCCCCTAAACCATTGGCTACAAAAAGGAGTGGTCAACACAATGGGTTGGATCTTTTAAAATTCTATTTCACTGTGCCATTTTCAGAAATTCTCAAAATCCCGAGTTACGTTTGAAATCGAACAAACAAAAGCGTCGTAGTGAAATCTAAAGATTGCGTGGATTCGACAAACTAGATTTGTTGTGTGTTTATGAACGTCATAATTTGCTGTACACGTATGTATCTCAACGTCATAATCCCATCGGTATTTCGACATTGAACTGTAAAAAAAAAACAATTCAAGTTCAAAATCGTATCATTCTATTTTTGCGACAGACGTTCGGTTCACACCTCCAGATTTCACAGACGTACTGAAAATCGTCTATTTAGGAAAAAAACTATTGGAACCTAGCACTGTAGTGCAAGCACATTCCCCACTAACCAATAGGATAGCAAATACATTGTGTAGTTCATACAGATAAATATTGTTACTAATAAAATACGGTCTGTAAAAAAATGACATTGCTATGAAATATGTACCTGATGTTTATCACCTGCGCAAACCAACTTGACTGGCGCTTGTCCGTTAAAGAAAACGTCAAGTTGATAAATATTTTTACAATAAATACAAGAATAGATACAACGTATTGTAAAATTGAAGCCACGGTTTCATGAATAGTATATTTTTAAATATCAAAATAAAATTATTAATGCATTTTATGCATTAGAGTTGTGGGTTCAAATTCAATCTGGGTTATCTTTGGTAAATATTTGTGTATGTTTCGTTTTGCGCTAATTTAAAGTTAACTGCCCCAGTAGACGGACAGGTAGCAGACCGGCGGTCAGGACAACGGCAGAGTGAAAGCACGTTCCGAAGTAATGTGACCTTCGCATTACTCGAATAACATATTCCCTAGCATTTCGATTTACTGCGAAAGCCAAAATAAGACTCGGTGATGTTATTTCGCCTACGCGTTATACGATACAGAACGTCACCATGTCGACATGCCTACGTCATTGTGGAGAGGTTCGTCCGAAAAGTTTACGATAGTCTGTCATTTACGTAATGATAATAATATTTAATAATACATCCAGATCACTGTATCCATGGTAATTAGAGGAAGTTTCCTGGAATGGAGCGGGATTTCACAGAAGCCATATCACGTGACAACATAATTACCGGGAATGAGTCGGCATCATGAAAGGAAGCGAGCACAAGGTCATGCGATAAAAAAAAGTTACACAACTGCACTGTGATATATTCTGATGACTTATCTTCGTAACAGTGTTTTAAAGGATTGCAGAAATATTGCCCTATGATACAAAACTAAACACAGCAAGAAACATAAGCTAATAAATATGTTTGTGCATTTGAAGTGAGTAGATGGCTAATAATGATAAATAATAGTCATTCTCATATAAAAAAAAAAATAGGCCTCTGACGAAATATTAATATTGTACATAACTCGATAACGATGACACAAAGTACACATCTCCATTGCGATATTTATAATAAAAAACAAAACAAAAAAACATCAAAATGTTATCGAAAATAGTCAGTGATTTCATTGCAAGTAGGGGTATTGGTTTAGAAACAGTTTAAGTTTAGTCGGCAGTGGAAGGCGACATACGTAATGTTCTGGCAAATCCTTTGGTAGACTTCTGTTTATACTTAACCGACACATATGCTGGAGTGTAGGCACATCAGCTTTTAGGGGTAATACAAGTTTCACAGGTGTATCCTTGCGGCCAGATGGTTCAAGCCAGTAAAGTTGTTTTCCTACGTTGTTACATGTAGTTCTTTTTTCTCCATTCATGTAGAACGCTATGAGTTTTACCACACAGTCGAAACTTGGAGCTTTTTCCCGAACACTCTGATCTGCATCAAGTCTGAATTTGCCATGGTGCGTGTATTCGATTCGTACGCTCGTTGTACCTCTTGGAGTTTTCACACTCAAACTGAATAAATGTTTCGGGTCTTGGCTATCTCGTACTAAAAAAGTTCCAGTAGGCGAATAGCTTAGTTTTTTCCTTGCTTCCCTGGACGACATAGCACCGTGATACCAACACGAATATCTAAGGATTTCTAAAGTATCTACAAGTTTGTCCAGATCATGCTGCGTATCCCTGTTCGTTGAGTAATAATAATAAATTCTGTCACCGCCGGGAAGATTTCCGAACCTGCTTTCGGTCGTTTCGTTGTCTATGTGTCTGTCGTTCCCATGTGTCATTTTCTCCTTTAGACCTTGGAACTCTGCAACAACAGTTTTTGTAGCAGTCGGCATGTCATTCACCAGAGGACGTAGATGTAAATTATACTGTCTTTTAACAGCGACGGGAATGCCAGAAACCACCATGAAAAATGTGTCCATGTACAGTAGTAGAACCCCAGTTGCAAACTTTCCGTTTAAACTTAATGTGATAAGTGTTGTCGACGTTAGAGGCTTCTCCGTCGAAGGTCTGGGTCCATTTGAAGGAAACAGGACACTTCAATGAGTATGTATATCGGTGGCGACGCTGTTCCACGAATCGCAATTCACCATAGTTTCTAGTTAGTAGACTAGTGTCATCGGTAGCATAACATCGGTGACGTTACACACGGAATCGCAGATTGGCATTCCATGAACGTTGAGTTTGACCTAGTTGTTGACGAACACTTCAGAGCGACACCAGCATATAGGAATTATTTGTAAGTATTGTCCAATTTAACTTATACTAAAAAGAAACGGAATTGGTAAACGACCGCTTTGATCATCCGTACGCAGTACAGTCGAATGGTCCACTGTAATATACATGTACAACAAATTCCGAGAATCCGCGCCACCTCGCTAGGCTCTCTAACTTTCTGTATATAAACCATCGATCATGCATGCGAACTTCCCTGCATACTCTCAGCCCATTTTAAACCCAATTTTAAACACTAATGCATTTTAGTAAAAAAAAACAAAACAGAAAAGTGCGTTAAAATATGATTTGTGTCCATGGTTACAATATAGAAATAGCGGCGTTGCTACTAGAAAGTATTTGTAGCCTAGGGAGTCATTTCCACATAAAGGGAATCCCCTTCTTCGAATGACGTTATCACCATCAGTACGGAGAAATTAACAGTTCATGGTATTCTTTGAGGATATGAATCACTCAGAATTACAGAAAAAAACACACTGGGAACATGGCACCCAAGTTCAGGCGAAGTGTTGACTCGTGACAACGTCTGTATACCATAAACACAATCACCTCATGGTCTATTGAAGCCCACCGGGAGTTCCATACTCGTACACCGAGATGTACACCGAGATGTACACACGAGTTACACTCGCTTCGCTCGGCCGGCGTTTTACTTGGTCGCCCGATTACCGCTAGTGATTTACCCGAGTAACCGGGTGACAACTGTCAGTAGGTGATTCTCAGCTGTCGACCAACTGCTGTCATTCATCTTGTCAGCAAGAACGACGCATTTTAGGGGGATTTCGATCGCGTTCACATACCCAGGTCACCTCTGTGATTGGCACACGGTATTCGACCAACACCTTTTCTCCGTGGTCGTATTTCAAGTGTTACTGATAACAACAAATTAATTTAACATCGAATTTCAACAGAAATATTTATTCAATAATGTGAGAAAATTATGGGTCTCGATCGTTCGTTATCTGTCGGCAACAGTTCCTCGCTCTATAGCTCACGCCCATGTTTGAACGAGTGACTCAGCTACTATGAGACAACCTTCAAACTTTACACATAAAATAACACATGGAAATGACACTGCTCATATTAAACTCGTCTTCTGTAATTTTTCTACAGACAAATTTGAATAAAAATATACACCAAAAGAGTATACAAAATT